AAAAAACACAGCTGGAGCTTTTGCCTGGCACTAGCTGGTTAAGGTGGGTGAAACCAAAATTAAAAATGTATGCTGAGATTTTTAATAGAATTAAAAAGCAATAAATAGGAAGCAGATGGAATTCAAAGTGATTGGACAAGAAAATAATAACAAGAAGCAGCCGCAAGATGCATAAATTCTCATCATTTCAATTACCAAGTTAGTAAAATATTCACAGTTGACTAGTAGTTTAAAAATACTTCCCTTGATATGGTTCTCTCAAAAACCATTACTATTTACTAGCAGAAAGTAGAAAGTAGAGTCATTTCAATTAATTGCAAAAATAAGTTTCGTAAATATTTTCCTTAGTTATCAAAAACAAGCAATCAACACCAGGTTGATCTGCAGAGAGAGTTTGATTTGCCGAATCAGCACATGTTACTGAAATATGGGCCTAGTGGGGAAACATTCAGACAATAACTTAGCCAACAACTATTGAAACCCACTTTGACAACTCGCTGTATGACTTCAATCCAAAAAGTGCAGCAAAAACTGAAGCAACACAGAAAGGAAAATTGAGCTATGACTATGAGCCAAAAAAGTTGAAATGACACCACATTCATGTATCTGCCTTACTGTATCAATCTTCGTCCTCTTCTTCCTGCATAAAAAAAAGTTGGGCGCGTGAACAGAGATCAGAAGGATGGATAAGAATAAAAGAATTGAATCCAAGAGAAGTTGTATGTGAGACAATCAGAACTGCAGGCAAAGCGGAATATTGTAATGGCTTGTATTGTAACTACCAAATATGAAATTGTATAACAAGGAAAAAATAAATTATCAAAACTTGGGCCTCATCCAAGCTGGCCATCAGGAGTTGTATTAAAACGCAAGAACTTGTGCCTACAGGTAGGTCCCTCTAATTTCATGTACCAAGGGGAGCATAACATCTCAGCAAGTTGGATGAGCACATTAACGACCCCATAAAAGATTTTTGAAAAAGAAAATGTGAATCACAAAATACATGGAAAGACATTCTGCAAAAATAACAGCCTTGGTGCAAACTTCTTGAATAGGATATTTACAAATTTGCTTGTTGGACAAGCACCAAAAATTTCAACCTCTCAGAAGGTAGTACCTTGTAAAAAACCAAGTCCAATTGTCCATTTTGATGCTGGTTAAGATACGTTTCCAACTGTCCTCTTGCTGCCAAGATAAGACCTACAATTGGCAATGCATGAACAATGACATCACAAATGTTTAAGCATGAGATAAATTGAATTATTGAATTCCCTTGTGCTAAGTGGAATACACAAGGGAATTATACACTGAGTGAACTTCATTTTAGATGACCTAGCACAATTGAAAACTCTATTGCAGACAAATTAAAATACAAACACCTTGTAATGCTAGTCTTCTAATCAGGGATCTCATATTCAAACTCTAGATGAGCAAAGACAATGGTAAAACACACATCACCATTTTATCAACCCATAAATACCTAGAAATAGAGCTGAGGGCTTCCCTGGCCGTGATTTGAATTCTGGATGAAACTGCACTCCTACATAGAATGGATGACTTGGAAGCTCTAGAACCTACAGAAATTACAAAGGATAACATTAGTACTGGATGTGCCAAAGCTGACCAAACAAGGTTAAAAGAAGAACAGGAAGAAGGGGAAAAAAAAAAAGGCCAAGTGCCAATCAATGCAATGTCTAAGTCCCATTTACAAGAATTTTACAAATTTAAACGTGAGTTGGAAAACTAAAACTTCTACCAGGAAAGAGACCCAATAAAAAAAGCATAGCATGACTTCTAGTTTCTGTTGCCATAATAGATCCAATTATTCAGAAACAATAGCTAGAAACTCATTTAGTAGAATACCAACCTCCATTCTCTTTCCAGTTTCATCCTTCCCAACAAATTTCAGGCCAGCTTCTTCTAGAGTTTTAATCATCTCCGGGTTCACCTGTAGCACAAACAAGCGAGGGCCAACATATCATATCATGGACAAAGATAAATTTTACTCATATATCCTACAAAATCAACGTGAACAACTAACCTCATATCTATGCCGATGCCGTTCATCTACATATTCTGAATTAGAATACCTAGCAAGACACAAGTAATAATAATCAAAATGATATGCATTGAACTAAAATTTCAAAAAATAATCTACGATAATACATTGAAAGAGCCAGCCAAATCAGCAGGCTAAAAACTAGAAGCATGTGTTGGCTTGCATCGGTATTTACAGGACAGAGAAAACCAAGCAGCATCAATTTTTTCAACTATTATTAAGGATCACTCAGCAGCAACTCGATCTACACGATGATTTATAGTTAATCCCTAGGCTCTCAAAAGCTTTCTAAATTTTTTCCCAATAGTTAGAACAAATCTGCATTCAGGAAATGGTGCCAACTCAACCTTACACCTTGAGAAGCGCTGGATGGTACAAAAAATATGACCAGAGGTCCAGATCTATGGGCCAATGGCCCAGAGTATGCATTGCACATATTAGAAGCTAAAAAATTCTCTACTTGTTTGCTGCAGATCAGGGTTCAATTGATTATTTGAAATTGGATAGCAAAAAAAGATAAAATCACATACAATTTTGAAGTAATACAATCACTGGTTTGGAGTAGTGTCCTACGGGATCCTAATCTCATTGTGCTTCCCATATGCGTTCTAGAGCCCTGGCATATCAACATAAAATGATAACAATCATGCCATATGAGTGAAGGTGTAAAAAAAGAACCATGAAATGCATACCTCAGGCATAAAAATGACAACAGGATTAGGTGTCTTATCGTCAAACTCCATGCTGTTTGCCCTTTCCAAACCCAGAACCTAGAACAAATAAGTATCAGGGAAAGAGTTACGATGTGGTCAGAAAAATAACAAATTTTTATTTGCAATAAAGGTTACTTACAGATCTAGCAAATTCAATGACAGAAATCTGCATGCCCAAGCAGATCCCAAGATAGGGAACATTATTCTCTCTAGCATATTTTGCAGCCAATATCATTCCTTTCACACCACGATCTCCAAATCCACCAGGAACTAAGACACATTCTGCATTCTGCAAATAACAGTTCAAATAAAAATTCTGCCATCAAAATCATTTCTCAAGAGCAACCTAGCTTATTCTTATCTGACATTAATATTAATATAATGCAATGAATGGCTAAACCATAAGAAGAAACAACATTACAAAAATGACAACCTTCAAATGCCATATCTATAAAGCTTACCCTTAAAGTCTTCCATGCAGCAGCATGAGCTTCTGGTGTCTGCATGTTTTATAAAAATTTAATAAGATAAATTTCAACATATCAAACTCCAGGAGCACAAGAATTATAAGTTCATTACAGATTTTGCACTATCATCTTCAAGGTCAGAGGCTGCAATCCAGTCAACTGATGGCTTCAAAGAACATGCAATGCAAGCATGCAACAGGGCCTGCAAGTAAAAAGAAGCACTGGTCAAAGGAAGTAAACTTGACACCAATTACCTTCCAATTCTGGAAATAGCAAGCCAGGCATTTTTTATTTTATTTTATTTTATTTTATTTTACTGCCTGTTAATAGCAAGCCAATTATAAACCCAATATATATATATATATAGAATATGCCACAATTTGATCTGGGTAAGTTTTTCCTCTATTTAATGGTAAACAAATTATGTTCAGCCAACAGTCGCATAATGTCTTTAGTTCCTAACAATATAATCTTTGATTCATAAGATACCAGAATACCAGATCGAGGCTAATATAACTTGAGGCATGCACTTAGCCTTTTGAGAATAGAAGCATTTAGGTGTCCTTCTTTGAGAATATAACAGTTCGCAAAAGCTTACTATAGATATTAACTGTCCTTTCCAGAACAAATTGGATAAAAAGCAACTAGTCATAAGTTTCATGGCCTACAAATGCCATGTACCATCAATCTTCCTCAAAAGAGCACTGAATCAAGTTATACCACACCTTCACAACAGACAGATATGAGTCTGACAGGCCAACATACTTCCCAACCATTGCAATCCTCACCTGCACATGTAAGTGTGTTCTCGTCTCACAAATGAGAAAAGAAAAAATAATTCCAAACATGACCATTACCAGTTGAATTAGTAGTACTAACAGAATCAGTGAGGTTATCATAAGTCTCTGCCATCTTGGTCCAGGCTTCTAACTTTGGAGGTGTGTCAATGCTGAAACAGGAATTTAACAAAAATTGTTAAAGTGATCAAACCTTCCAGTAGTCAGTACATTGTTCCAAAGTCAATGGCTGATTATTTGTGATTGGTTGATTGATTTCAACTGGCAAGAACCTTCTTACACTGCTGGAATCACTCAGGTATGAAGAAAGAAGGGGAAACTGATATGCGATTCAATAGGCTACTAGAGAAACACTCACTTACCTGGGCCTCATTATGCATGAAACATACTATAGATGATGAAATTATTAAAAGGAAAAAACCAAGAAGGGGAAGTTTTATAGCTGTTTCTCCAATGAAAAATCCCAACGTATAGATGTTGAAAACTAAAACTAACCTGAGTAAACCAAGCTGTTTATGAATTGAAACATGAGCATTTTGGTTCTGAAACAGAAGCAGATATAAAAAGCATTAGAACTGAGTAGAATGGACTAAAAATATTTAGATATTTCAGAAGAAACTGAGAATTGATAGTAAACTGACCCTCAGTAATAGAGGAACATGCCAAATGTTTGGAACATCATGAATATTCAAAATGTTAGCAGCCTGTGAGAAACAATCAAGAGACATAAGATCTTCAATCAAGAAAACAAACTTAATCAGAAAGACCACAGAAAATTTTGCCTAAAAATTTACCGGAACATGGCAAAACTGTGAAAGTTTTTCCTTTGTAGCTGCCAATAAAGGCTGCAATTCATCAAGAAAAATATACCATGAAACTCATCCTAATTTTAGCAACACAGAAGGAGAAAATGCTGAAATCAGTGAGCTAATAGCGAAGATCACTGCAAATATAATAAAATTCAGTTGAATTCAAATCCAACAGTTACATGTGCAGGCCATCAAAAATGATTCTAATAGCAGATTCAATCAGTTTTAACTCAACTTGAATTCAAGTGGCCACATGAAGGTAAATACCTGAGCAGAGCGACATGCCAACAGATGAGGAGTCAAGCCTAATGCTCTTAGTTCCCGAACACTATGTTGTGTAGGCTTAGTTTTCTGTGAAGAAATCACCACCAAATATTTGGGAAATTCTTTACTTGATTCATAATAATGTACCATCAAGTGTTAAAATAAGATCCATGACAATGACCTAAGGAAATTTTGCAAAAGTTGTAACAAAGTCTAAAAAAATTGGAATATTACTTGCTCTCCCACAACGCCCAGCACAGGTATCAGGCTCACATGAACTAGACAGAAGTTATCTGTTCCTGAGGTGCAAAAATAGACATTAATATAATCGATGATAATCATCCACTGAGATAGTAAAGAAAGGTACAATATAAATGTTGAGTGAGGTTCTTGGCGTGACACTAGAGACACAGCACAAAATTATGCCTTCGGTTGGAAAATTTTATGGGAAGGGGAAATGCTACCAATCATTGCTAAGCCCACCAATCATGATCCATCCACCAATAAAGGCAAAAGGATGACTCATAAACAAAAAAAAAGCCATATATGGCACATTCGATGTTTCTACAGATAAACATTAAATGATGCAGGCTTACCAACTGAGAAGGACAACTGTCTCAAAGCCTCAATGAATGGCATTGATTCAATGTCACCTAAGAAAAAAAAATAATGGGATTAATAACCTCTGGCATAAAAGGATAAACAACAGAGAAAGATCTGTCAGGCGCATTAGGTTTCTTTTTCTATATGGCTCTTACCAACAGTTCCTCCCAACTCTATGACACAAACATCTGCCGGGCCTTCTTTTCCATCCACAGGAATGAGAGCAACTGACTCAATCCAATTCTTAATAGCATCTGTGATATGTGGAACAACCTGTAATCCACTCAAAAATGGCAGAAACTAAGTCACAAGTTCTGTCCTTACTTAAGCCAAAAGTAGTATGTTACTTGATAACATGAAGCATCACCTGAACAGTCTTTCCAAGATAATCACCCCTTCGTTCCTTTTCAAGGACAGACTGATTAAAAAAAAAAAAAAAAGGATTTCAGCAAGTTAAAGAAATCTGTAAACAGATGGATTTGCATCAACAATGAAGTACCTGATATATTTTTCCCGTGGTTATGTTGTTATCTCTTGTAAGTGTCACATCCAAGAATCTCTCATAATTGCCCAAATCCAAATCAACCTATAGGACAAAAGTAAGACAAAATCAAGACAAAAGCAAGGTACAAAAAAGTTAATATTTTGCCCAATAACTTAGTTTTCTTTAAAAAAAAAAAAAAGAAAAAAAAAAGAAAGAGCACAAACCATAGAATATTAAGAAAATTCATTTTTAAGCAGTGTTATAGAAAAAGAAGGTAATATGGAGAAAGTGGAATGTCGGCAAAAACCTCTCCGCCATCATCAAGAACAAAAACCTCTCCATGTTCAAAAGGGGACATGGTACCAGCATCCATGTTCAAATAAGGATCTGCACCATACAATAAAATATAAGAAAAACCATAAAAATTGAAAAAAAAAAAAAAACGAAGACAAAGGCACACCATATAACGCTAAAATCCAAATTGCATGTCCCAGTAAAATCCAAACAAACCATCAATCAATCAGTAAGAAACAGGAACTGTCAATAACTTTTTTTCGCTTCGGTATAATACAGAGAACTCAATGCAGCAGAAGAATAAATCTCAAAAAAAGCAATACAGCAAACACTAACAGCATACGGAGTCCAAATTCAATAAAAATTGCATCAAAATGAATCTATAGAGAAAGCAGAAACATCAAAAACTAGCACCAAATCTATCCAAATTGAGAAGTCTGAACTAGTCAAAATAAGTGCAAACAATGGAAACCAGCTGAGAAAACTCCAAACCAGCAGAAGAACTGAAATTAGAAAGTAAGAGATTAGATATAGAGATTAGCAAAGAGGATGAGGAAGAGAGGAGTAACCGATTTTGATGGAGGTGACACGGAGGCCGCAGGATTTGAGGACGACGCCTATGCTGCTCGCCGTCACGCCTTTGCCGAGCCCGCTCACCACTCCGCCGGTAACCAAAACGTACTTCATCTTCTCTACGCGGTTCAAGGTAGGAAGTTGGGCGGTGATTGAAATGGAGGCGAAGTATTTGTGTTAATGTCTGAGCGGGAAAGCTCGGAGCTAACCACAAAAAAAAAAAAAAAAAACCACACAAAAGGGACAATGCTTGGCTTTTGGCTTCTGAAAGTTTTTTTTTAGTCGCTTTCTGGTCTTTCAGGTTTCGAAATTTTATAGTAGGTTCAAACCTAAGTAGAGGACTGGGCTCGAGGGCAAGTCTACAGGGAAAGCCGAAAGCCCACCCCATTTCACTTCCGCCAATTAAATGTTGCCGTGTAGACTGTAGATAGGGGAAATCTCAAGCTTGTATGGCACACTTTTCGGTAGAAAACTAGATATTTGAATAATAAAAATAAAAAACCATTTTGACAATATATCCTACTTTCTTTCTTTTCTTTTTTTTTAACGAGTTACAATTTAAAAGAGGGGGATTCGACATGAGGTATAAGATTATCAGGTCACTGAAAACTCAATTATGAGAAATAATTTAAATTTAATTTTATAATTATAATATTATAATTATAAATTTATAATTACAATACGACATTAACATTATATCATTTTCATTAATTTTAGAAGAATTGACACGTTATCTTAAATGTATTAGAACATCGTTGAAGCATTTTACAAGAAACCTGTCTAGAAGAGCGAATCTGAAAAGATGAATTTGATGATTTGGGTGGAATGTGGGCAGAAAATTAGGGGGAAGGGGGGGTGGGCAATGCCATAGCTACGTATAGCTACGTATAATGATGTGGACAACTCTTTTTTTTTACAAATTTTTATTTAAAATTTCAAATATTATAACAAACTATTTAAATAAATTATAAACAAATAAAATATCAATCAAATTAAATAAAGTTTTATATGATTTTAATAGACTTCTGTGTGGCCATTAACCACACCTGGCCCAGTTGAAAAACAAAGTTCTTATAAGAGTTCTTTTGTTTTCCTCTCAAGAATAATCTCTAATATAGTTAAAAGTTTTGATCATCTATCGAGATTAGAAAATTATGAAGAATTGTCTCCCAATTGCCTCCCTAAGAAATCCCATTTTAGATGCGTCTTTGAATTCCCCTCCGAACATCAAAAAGAATCTAAAAAGAATTATAATATTATTATATCTTCTAACTTATGAATTTTTCTTTTTTCTCAGCAAAGTAATATATATATATGATTGGAAAAAGAAAATGAGGAAAATCATTATCATACAATTAATGTTATGATTGATTCCATCTTAACTAGTTGAAATGCAAGAATTAGTATGTATTTATTTATTTAATTAGTATCACATAAATATTAGTACGGATAATATAAAATTTAATTATAAAGTTATATTATGAATGTATCAACTTTTTACATTAAAAAATTTACATAAAAGTGAATCCATAGAGATAGAGGAAGCCTTTATCCAATTGAACTTATATTTAAAAATCATATTATTAATTGATACCTAATATAAAACATAAAAAAAATATTTCTTTTTATACTTCGGAAGTTATACATTCTTTTAAATAAATGTGATATATAAGAAGCATAATCCCTTCTTTTATACAGACATGTAATGTTAATAATCCAAGAGATAGCAATTTTGCATTCTGTTGTCCATGAACTACAATAAATTACAAATTTTATAATTATTGACAGAGAGTAATTAGTTCAATATTAAAGTATTTATTTTTTATTGTTAATAATTATAAGATATTTAATCTATGTAAGATAGGTTATACATCATTTTTGTACTCAATAATATGATACAAAAAAGCATACATATAATCTCAAATATTAGAACACTAATAAATAAATGTTATTTTATAAATTAAATTTAAATTTTAAATTTTAAATTTAATATTAAAAAATTAATTTTCTTTAATGGAATAAATTAAGCCGAGCTGGAAATGATTAATTTGTGTCAAAACTGACAATAAATACCCAAAAAACAAATGTTAAATCTCCGATTTGCACCTTACACTTTTTTTTTTCGTGGTTAACACTCTAAATTAATTTTTGTCTCAGTCAACACCCTCTACTATTTAAAATTCGTGAAAAACCCAACAATTTATGATCAAACCCTCCATTTGCACCTTAATTTTGTGGTCAAACTTGCTATTTGCATGATGATTTCGTTAGTAATTTGGGGGGTTTTTTATAGGTTTTAAATTGTAAAGAGTGTTAACTGAAATAAAAATTAATTTAAAATATTAATTGCACAAAAAAAAAAAGTGTAACGTGTAAATAAGGGGTCAGCCAAAGACAAAAGCTTACATCAAATTATACAAAAACAAATAAGTAGCTACATGCAAAT